TTTATATGGAAGAGGGTGTTCAGCTCAGAACACACAGCCCTTAATAGTTTGGATAGAAACGACAGATTGGTTGGCTAAAATATAACATTTGAATCTTATTGGATCCTTCACATGGGACACATTGAGCTTCATGAGCAATGTGCCTTCCTTCTGTGGCAGATTGGAAACATCTGCCAAACTCAGATGTGTTATTGTTGAAAATGTATAATGTTGTTGTTTGTTTGTTTATGAAAAACATTTCAGTTCCATTTTAAGGAAAGCATGTCTACAAAAATATGTTGTGATGCACTGATGTGGAAATTTTGGTCGATGCAGTTGACTGATAATTATTTGTTTAATTAGTAATTTTGATGTTTTTATATATCTGTGGAGCTGATTTTGAAATAGATTCTATATTAAGGCTTTAGATTTTAGAATTTGTAAACTATTCACCATACATTGGTGAGTTGTGTAAATGTCACTGGGATCATCATGTGTAGCCTTTGTCATCAGTGTCTTTAGTGTCTTGCTGTGACTCCCAGAATTGAACTGAAAACCCATGAAATACGGAAAAGTTCCGTTTTTCGGAGTTCCGGTTGAGTGGACGCTGGCGCGTCTTGCAGCCGCTGCTCTCCGGCAACTATTTTTAATTATTCTTAACTATTTTCGTTATTTTATTCTTCTGCCGGATCACTGGACCGTGTATCTACACTCAAGCGAGAGTAAAAGCCTTCACCTCGCTTGGAACGCTCTCATTTAAGTTGCGATCCTGATGCTTCGGTGTGTGAGTGTGGTATACTAACCTCATTCTCCACATCTTCTCGACTCTACGCTGCTCCTGCTGCCGTTCTACAATGTGGGCTTGCAAGTTTTACATGTGGTTTATCCTCCTCTGGACTGTTCTTTCAATTTTACACCGACCCGGGGCTGGTCTGACTCTATATACAGCGGCTGATCTCCTACTGCTCCGCGGGCTCCTGTCTGTCCCTCCCCCGCCAGTTTTACAGCTACACCCGGAGATCGCGCTCCTTCCCCGCCGGAGATACTCCCACCGCGGATCTCGTCGGAATTTCCACTTCGATGACTCCAATCCTATAACATCATTCTGGTCCACTGCTCGCCGTTCTCACCGATGCTCAAATCGGGCTGCTGACTACGGTTCGCTTGCTTGCCTTGCTAAGGCAGCAAGCCTCGCCCCCGGCTACAACAACTCTTCTTTCAACTTTGGTCTCCTGAATGTTCGCTCTCTCTCTAACAAGGGTCAGCTTATCCAGGATCTCCTCGTTGACCGTAAGCTGGACTTCCTCTGTCTTACGGAGACCTGGCAACAACCTGGTGACTTCTTCCATCTCAATGCATCCACTCCACCTGGGTTTGTTTACCATTCTCATCCGCGTGGCTCTGGCCGTGGGGGTGGTCTCGCGCTGCTCTATCGCGAGAAGTGGAAGATGTTGCCAGTTTCCATTCCAGTTTTCCGCTACATGGAATGTTCTGTATTTCAACTGCCTGGTCCCACTCCCACAGTTATTGCCACAGTCTACCGCCCTCCCAAACCACACGGTGACTTTTTAAACGAATTCTCCACACTACTTACCCTCCTCTCTACTCTCTCTCCTAATGTCATTCTCCTTGGTGATTTTAACATACATATGGACAATACAAACCTCCCACTCACCAGAGACTTTACCTCCTGTCTAGACAGTTTTGGATTCCATCAGTTTGTTGATTTCCCCACCCACATAAAAGGACATTCACTTGATTTGATTTGTTGCTCTGGTTTAATTCCCTCCAATTGTTCAGCTGATGATGTTCACATTTCTGATCATTTTTTTTTTGTCCTTTAATATCTCCCTGTCTCTTTCTGTTATTAAGCCAGTCCGCCAGATTTCATTTCGAAATATTAAAAATATTGATCCAGACATCATATCCTCCTACATTGAAAATTTGCCTATACCTGATCTTTCATCTCCGGACCACCTCGCCATCCATTATAACTCTGGACTTTGCTATATTCTTAATTCCCTCGCCCCTCTCAAAACCCGTTCTGTGTCCTTTTCCCGCTCTGCCCCTTGGTTCTCGTCAGAGCTCCGCCTCATGAAAGCCAAGGGTCGCCAACTTGAACGCCTCTATAAAAAAACTGGTCTCCACATTCACAAAGAAATGTACAAAACTCATCTTCTTCTCTATTCAAATTCAATAGCTTTAATCAAATCAAACTACTATTCTGATCTCATCTGCTCTAACGAAGGAAATTCCAGGTCTCTCTTTTCAATAATGCACAAAATTTTCAACCCCCCTGATTCCCTACCCTCCCACATGTACTCTAGCGAGACCTGTAACTCATTGATTATCTTTTTTAATAACAAAATCAATTCCATTCATGAGCAATTACATTCCACCCCCCTGTCTCCCCCTCCCCCTTTGCCCCTCCCTAATAGTCAGTCATTTTGTTGCTTTTTATTGCCCTCCTCCTTCGAAATTTCTGATCTCATCCGTAAATCCAAGTCCTCAACCTGTTCTCTTGACCCCCTCCCCACAGCTCTGGTCAAAACCTATCTCACTTCCCTCCTCCCCCTCATAACCTCTATTATTCATTCCTCTCTTTCCTCTGGTATTGTCCCTTCACTTTTCAAAACTGCATCTGTCTCCCCGATTCTGAAAAAACCTGGCCTAGATCCAACTGACTATAATAATCTTCGTCCCATCTCAAATCTTCCCTTTATTTCTAAAATTCTTGAAAAAATAGTGTCTGCTCAACTCCACGCCTATCTTACCCTCAACAGTTTCTATGAACCTTTCCAGTCTGGTTTTCGCCCTTCCCACAGTACCGAAACTGCCCTAATAAAAATCACCAATGATCTACTCATAGCTGCTGACTCTGGACTCATCTCCATCCTCATCCTTCTTGATCTTAGTGCGGCCTTTGATACCATTTCTCACACCACTCTCCTCAATAGACTCTCTTCGCTTGGCATCTCCCATACCCCTCTGGATTGGTTCCGCTCATATCTCTCTGACCGCACTCAGTTCATTCAACTCAAATCTTTCACATCCCACCACTGCCCTGTCACTTCTGGCGTCCCTCAAGGTTCAGTTCTTGGCCCCCTCCTTTTCATCACCTACCTACTTCCCCTCGGTAATATTTTTCGCAAATTCAACATTCATTTTCATTGTTACGCTGATGACACTCAGCTCTATATATCCAGCAAACCCACCTCTTCGCTCCCTCCCTTGTCTCTTACTAACTGCTTACTTGAAATTAAAGACTGGTTCACCTTAAACTTCCTAAAACTTAACAGTGATAAAACTGAACTCCTTCTTGTTGCCACCAAATCCACACTTTCCAAAATTAATAGTTTCACATTACCCATTGATAATTCCTCGGTCTCCCCCTCTCCTCAGGTCAAGAGTCTGGGCGTAATCCTTGACTCCTCCCTATCTTTTCAGTCACACATTAATAACATCTGCCGGTCTGCACACTTCCACCTTCGCAACATTAACCGCCTCCGTCCCTCCCTTACCTTTCACACTGCCTCTATCCTTATCCACAGCCTCATTACCTCCCGCCTTGATTATTGCAACTCTCTTCTTTTTGGCCTCCCTCAAAAATCTCTCCATAAACTCCAACTTCTTCAGAATTCAGCTGCTCGTGTCATCACCAGAACCCCCTCTTTTCATCATATAACCCCTGTCCTTCAACAGCTCCATTGGCTCCCGGTTCAATTCAGAATACAATTTAAAATCCTTCTTCATACTTTCAAAGCTATCCATAACCTTGCTCCTCCATATCTATCTGACCTACTCCACATCACTACCTCCTCCCGCTCCCTCAGATCTTCCTCTTCCATTCACCTCACTGTACCCCCTGCTCGACTTGTCACCATGGGGAGCAGAGCCTTTAGCTGCTCTGCTCCCCAGCTCTGGAACTCACTCCCGCCTGACCTCCGCAGTGTTGACTCTCTCCCCCTGTTTAAAACCAGACTCAAAACCCACCTGTTCCAGCTTGCTTATTTGTAAATACACTGTTCTTGTCCTTGTCCGACTGTTTTATACTCTTTTATACTCTTGTTCCCTGTTTTTATTTTGTAAAGCGACCTTGAGTGCTTAGAAAGGCGCTGTTAAATAAAATGTATTATTATTATTATTATTAAAAGTACATTATCTGCAGAAAATGTAGTTTTTATTAAGAAAAAAATAAGTGGATTTTCAAAGCTATCCTCTCAAATGGTGATTTAGCTCTGATATGATTATAGGGCTAAATAGGGTAATTACAACATTTATATACAGTACATTTCTATATTTTGTCTTGTGTGTTACTTTACACTGTTTTCTTAAACGGAAAGCTGAGTTATTTTAGGGTGCCGAATTCTGCTGATGTCTTAATACCGACAGTGAAGTTATTGTGCTTGAGTGTGTGTAGTGTACATAAAGAAAAACATGCTCTGCTGCTGAAACTGCTTGTTTTGTTTTCCCGTCTCGCTCCATTATTCAAGCTTTTCATCCTTCTGCTGTTTTCTGTCACCTAAATCAACAGGTGGCTGAAGGGCCTGTTGGGAACCTTACAGATCTTTAGCTGCCCCTGATTTGTAGTGTCTCTCTCTCTCTCTCTCTCTCTCTCTTCTATCTCTCTCTCGTTTTCTCATTCTTGTTATGTGCTTGCTGTCCTTTGGAATTACCCGTGCTTTGGAACTGTAGTCAATTCTCCATATAACGGGACTTTGATCATCTTGCTTATAGGAGTGTATTAAAGTAGAAAAAAAAACACACTGTATCTTTAATGCTATGTTTATTACAATCTAAGGTCAGATTACCTCAATTTATTTCTAAATGTCAGGCATAACACGGCATAATGAAGTGTTTGAGATTATTTTTTTAAATGTATACAAGGATGACCTGAACAATGCTTTGGCTGTTTTACCCTAATGAAGTATGACTGTAGAAATTCTGCAATAACATATTTATATTTTTAGGTGTTTGATATAAATAAAAAAAAAATATGAAAATTCTTCTTCCTCCTGCAGAGCGCACCATGGCCAGGCACGAGGTGCGAGAGGTGGAGCATAGACAGACGCGGGACGGTCTGCGAAACTCTCCAGCTTTGCCTGAGATTGAGGACCTGGTCATCATCTATAACCGTGTGCCCAAGACTGCCAGCACCTCCTTCACCAACATCGCATATGACCTGTGCGGAAAGAACCGCTTCCATGTTCTCCACATCAACACCACCAAGAACAATCCAGTCATGTCCCTGCAGGACCAGGTAACATGTCCATTACATCAGCTTGAATTACATCAAAATGATTGCCATTTCTGTAAATACTATGAGGTTATTTAACATTTTAATCCAATATTCTTTATCCAAAATTATTTATTTATTTTTGCAAATCCAGTCATACGAGACAAAAAAGGTTATTTTTCCAGGATTTATTTGATGAATAGAAAGTTCGAAAGAACAGCATATTTACATTTACTTAAAGGTATAGCGGAGGATCTTTCCGAATTTTAGAGAAGACCCGCCCTCTCCAATTTTTTTAAAAAATGCACATGCACAAACACAACACTCTTGCTCCCGAGAGCTAGGGAACGTCTATACGCCTTGCACAATTATGTTGCAAATTCTAAACTAACAAAAAAACATTCATAAAAAAGACAACATGTCAAATGCCCTTCCGTGTTTTATTTACTTATTATACTGATCGATTGAGTGACCGAGGACTCAAGACATGATATGTGCAACCCTGTATCACACGAAATACGTTCTGAGGAAACTATTTTGCAAATCGCAATTACGTTACATAGCAACATATAAGCAGTGCTATTGCGTTGGTCCTTAACCTAATATCTCTCATTGTTAATACGTTATTTTTATACATAGTTGCATATGGAGAAGTAGCTTGTTGCATTTGTGTAATAATAAACACACAAGATTTTAGAATATTTAGCGTGATACCATTTACCATTTTGGACAAAAGGCTACTTTAGACAAATTGAGATGTTTACCGTGTCTATGCGGTCCATGACTCGTGCCAGGGCTAGCATTGTAGCTTGCATTAACTTTTACTAGTGATTTTAAATGGATTTCTCCAAATAGCGTGACAAACTTTACCTGTGTAGTAGAATCTTCGCGACTGCGGCATCAGTGAGAAGCCCAACCTGTGCTTTTAGCGCACGCCAGTGTGTGATATTCACCCAAAATCTATCTGGTCTTGTTTCTATATTCTGCGGCCTTTCTCATCTTATCATACACTTAGTAAACATTTTTTCTCTTTCGACCCTCAGCCATTTTCAAAGGAATGGCTGAAACCGTAACTCCGACATAATAGACCTGAAAGTGAAAACTACATAGGGATGAGCACGTAGCCTACGACGGCCTTACGTAAACATATCACCAGAATGATTGACACTTAGGTGGACCAATAGTATAGACTACCCACCCGGAAAAAGAAAATCCTCCGCTATACCTTTAATTTTATATATATATGAAGAGTTCAGATGCAAAAGCCTCTAAATGCCATTTGAAATTTTCTTCTAAAATTATAATTTTTATCAAGCTTGTATATGAAGAGTTCAGATGCAAAAGCCTCTAAATGCCATTTGAAATTTTCTTCTTTATTGATGATTTTTATCAAACTTGTATATTTAAGTTCAGTAATTTCACTTAAATAACAATTAATAGGTAATTATCATTGCCATTTAAGTGAAATTACTGAACTTAAATATACAAGCTTGATAAAAATCATCATTAAAGAAGAAAATTTCAAATGGCATTTAGAGGCTTTTGCATCTGAACTCTTCATATTTAAGTTCAGTAATTTCACTTAAATGGCAATGAAGATTATCCATTAATTGTCATTTAAGTGAAATTACTGCATTTAGAGGCTTTTGCATCTGAACTCTTCATATATATATATATATATATATATATTTATTTTATTTATTTATTTATTTTTTTTATTTTTTTTTTTTTTTTTTGCAGCAGTCACTTTTGATCAAATGAATGCATCATTGCCGAATAAAAGTATTCATTTCTTCAAACATTGGAGATCTGTAAGATTTGTTTAGGTGTAACTTACAAAAAATAGATTATTTAAAAAATAATACATTTTACGAATGGCATTCATTTTTAAATATGCTTACAGGATAATTAAAACGCCAGACAATGTCTGTGACTATGCCAGCTGTTCGTTTTACAGACACACCTGTGCATTTTTCACCGAATGCAGAGGTCTAGGGCATTTGTACTTATGAGATTGTGATAATCTTTTGCTCAATTCTCACTCTGACAGGCCAGGTGATGTCAGTGCAGCGGCCCTGTGTTTCTGTCGCACACGGTCTCTAACAAGCCTTCTCATCTCTGGCTCCACCTTCATTATTCATAGCCTACTGTCAATATCCACACCGCTTCTGTGCCTTTGTTTGACAAGCAGCATTGAACAAACTGAACCCAGAGATAAAACGATGAACAAGGATAGAAAAAGAATGAAGCGCAGATTTTGTTGACAGCAGCAAAGAAATACAATTCTCTATTCATCATATGTATTGTTACATAGAAGAACGCGTTGGCAGCTAACGGAAATCAATCTTGGGTTTTGACGAATGTACACGTTTTATTTGCTGGGTTGAAAGTGTTGCCTTCAACAAAAAGCATTGCCTCGTCATTTTGACCTCACACGTGTCAACGTTATTCAATTCGGCGTCTGGCTGTGTCGGACTGCAATCGTGAGCGTACGTTTGAATTTGTATTCATGTCATCTTGCCATCTGCAAAATAAAATGCCTTGGAGCATATGGAGGGAAGGTGTTATTTGTGGGTTATTCTGCCAAGGTAATATCTAGTCTAGCTTTCAACAAAGCCTGTCAAAGGTGCAGGAGGTACAACCTCTCCCCTCCCAGGGGAGTTTAGCTGTGGGACTATGTGGAGGATGTTTGGAGAAAACATTGCTGAAATGTGTTTGTGTCTGGTTTGTATTAAGTAGTCACTTGGCTGGTTTGTTCAGCAGACTGTGACAGATGCAGTACGTCAGTGCGAGATTGTTATATGAGATTTGGATATCGTTGATGCTTGAATGACGGAGGCATAGCACACATGCATTAAAATAAATTTAGTGGTTTATAAACTGTGCACAGGGACAAATCGAATGTGTTATCTTGTGCTTACAGATGAGGTTTGTAAGGAACGTGACATCCTGGCGAGAAATGAAACCAGGTTTCTACCACGGCCATGTTGCCTACTTGGACTTCACAAAGTGAGTTTTTGCTGTATTCATATAAAATCATCACAACAATTACTGTAAGCAATTGCCTTAGTAAATGAATTGTTGTCTGTCTCTGAATAAGAGAGGTCCATCAGACAGCTATAGAATTGACAGATGTGAGAAGAGAAGATACATTTAGGTGCTTCTGCACTCTAGTGGTTAAAAATGGAACAAGCCTTCATTTTGTAACACTTTATTTTGTATTTTACATATGTGGAGTTTGTGCTGCTGTCATGAAAGGAAAAGAAATGTATCACAAATTAAGAAAATTTAAACTTACATTTATATTTAGTATATTAGTAGTAGTAATGTAGTAGTAGTAGTAGTAGTAGTGTGTCTGTGTGTGTGTATATATATATACTGTATATATATAGACCATTTTGCAACATGTCAACAACACTGGTCCAGAAGCACTTCCTGTTTCAGTTTTTTTAACTCTACATAAAAGCTGGGATAAAATACAACCAACAGAACATATGAAACTTAATCAAAAAGTTAAACAAAGCTAAACAAGTTAAATCTTTAAGATGTTTTCTTTACATGTGAAATAAATAAAACAGTTACAAACTGAAACAGGAAGTGTTTTTGGACCAGTGTTGTTTACATCTTGCAAAATGGTCTATATATATATATATATATATATATACATATATGTGTGTGTGTGTGTGTGTGTGTGTGTACAGCTACTTAAAAAGGGTCTTGTGTCCCCTTGAGGAAACAAGTTTATAAATCATATAGAAAACTTTAAAGATAGGGTTTGTATAAGGGGATAGAATATATAGTTTGTACAGTATAAAACCATTACGTCTATGGAGAGTCCCTACAAAGATAATAAACCAGCCACCCGTGTGTGTGTGTTTAATATATATATATATATATATATATATATTATTTTCCCAAATAGGTTTGGGATCAAGGGGAAGCCAGTTTACATCAACATCGTACGGGACCCCATCGAGAGGTTGGTGTCTTACTACTATTTTCTCCGATTTGGAGATGATTATCGGCCAGGTCTCAGACGAAGAAAGCAGGGCGACAAAAAGGTATTGTATTTGAAGGTTTTTATCTCTTAATATTTGATAATGCCTCCATTATGAAAAGTAACACGAAAAGTTTCATGCTCTCACCATACGAATGCTCAGATGCTATGTGTGTGACTGTGTTTCAGACGTTTGATGAGTGCGTGTCGTCAGGAGGTTCTGATTGCACTCCTGAGAAGCTTTGGTTACAGATCCCGTTCTTCTGTGGCCATTACTCAGAGTGCTGGTGGGTAATATGAGCAGTCTGCAGCCTGTTATGCTGCTTTTCATTTAATGCTCTTTCTCATTAAATTAATTGATTGAATCACCCATTACTGATTTGTTCTCAACTATGTAGGAGCTGGAATTGATCTTGTGTGTCTGTGTGTGCAGGAATGTTGGCAGTAGATGGGCCCTCGAGCAGGCCAAGTATAATTTAGTGAATGAGTATCTGCTAGTGGGAGTGACTGAGGAGCTGGAGGATTTTATCATGATGCTCGAGGCAGCGCTACCACGTTTCTTCAGAGGAGCAACTGAGCTCTACCGCACAGGTACTTGATCCGAATAGGCCAACCAAAAATAACAATTCTACATCTACTCTACTAGTGTTTTCATTCCATAGCTGGCTGACTGTATTCTATACAATACAAAAGTGAATGCAATAGCTTTGTGAGTTTGTAGTTCAAATTTATGAAAGTCCATGAGAGAAGTACCTTAAAGGGGTCATGAACTGGCTTTTTCAATTTTATTATATTGTTGTCTGAGGTCAACTTATGACATTCGCTGGGTTTTTACATTCAAAAACATCAAAATGAATAAGTAATAGGCTATTTTCTACCCTAGTTTTGAGCCTAGCTCAGAAACGCTTAGTTTTTATTGGCGTCTCACACTTAAAGGGTTAGTTCACCCAAAAATGAAAATTAAGTCATTAATTACTCACCCCCTATGCTGTTCCAACCCCGTAAGACCTTCGTTCATCTTCGGAACACAAATAAAGATATTTTTGATTGAATCTGAGAGCTGGATCAGTCCTATATAGACTGCCTAAGGGACTGGCTCTTGACGGCCCATAAAGTCATTAAAGAAAAGGTTTAAATATTCCATGTGCCTACAGCGGCTCAATTATAAGTTTATCAAGCGACGAGACTACTTTTTGTGCGAAAAAAACATAAATAACGACTTTATCCCACTATTCCATTACTTCCTTATGGGCGCATGCGCGAGAACGTTCTCATTCGTCTACTTCTTGTTACCGGCTGCTCACCGCTTAGGAGTTTTACCGCCCCCTACCGTATAAAATGATGATCCATTTATAAGGCGCTCCGGATTATAAGGAACACTGTCGTTTTTTTAAAAAGATTAAAGGCTTTTAAATGCACCTCATAGTGCGGAAAATACGCTAATTGAAAAGCGTATGTACAGCGCGCATCTTCCTCTGCTTGTAAACAGAAAGTTTTGCGCTTCCAGCTATATCAGCACATCATCTTATACGGTAGGGGGCGGTAAAACTCCTAAGCGGTGAGCAGCCGGTAACAAGATGTAGACGAATGAGAACGTCCTCGTCTCAGTTCTCACGCATGCGCCCATAAGGAAGTAAGAAAATAGTGGAATAAAGTCGTTATTTATGTTTTTTTCGCACAAAAAGTAGTCTCGTCGCTTGATAAACTTATAAATGAGCCGCTGTAGGCACATGGAATATTTAAACCTTTTCTTTAATGACTTTATGGGCCGTCAAGAGCCAGTCCCTTAGGCAGCCTATATAGGACTGATCCAGCTCTCAGATTCAATCAAAAATATCTTTATTTGTGTTCCGAAGATGAACGAAGGTCTTACGGGGTTGGTACAGCATGGGGGTGAGTAATTAATGACTTAATTTTCATTTTTGGGTGAACTAACCCTTTAAGACTTGGAAGTAAACGCCCACTGCTGTGAGTGGATAACAGTTTTGCATATTATTATGAGTTTCAACTCACCTGTCGATGCACTTGGGGGAAATTGTGAATGATTCGACCCAGAGTCCGTGTGTTGCACAATTCCTGCCGGATCCAATATACACGGCACAGCACCGGGATTGTGTTTTATCCTCTTTGACGTCATAGATCCCCACTTTTAAAAACGAGCCATTTGCAGAGCCTGGTGTCAATAAAAGCTTTTATTGGACTAACCAGGACGTTTTCAGTTCTGAAACTTACATGATATTCTTATGCTATTATTCTTATGCTAATCTTAATGCTTATTTTTACCGTTATTTTTCTACCAGCACTAAAAATCTTCCCGTTTTTGTTAGGAAATGAAACATCGTTTTGTTTTTTTCAACCAAAATCACTTTAACACACATCAGTATAATAATGATATCATCGCATAGTTAGGATGTGTGAAGTTAAAATGCTTGTATATTAGCTATTAAAAGGCACCTTATTCAGGTATTCAGCATTTAAAAAAATGTTGATGATACTAACCAGTAAAATCTCCTGAGTGATCTGCATTTTATTGTCTTTGACGTCAACTGCAGGTAAGAAGTCTCACTTGAGGAAAACAAGCGAGAAGAAACCTCCCACTAAAGAGTCCATCTCAAAGCTGCAGCAGTCCAACATATGGAAGATGGAGAACGAGTTTTATGAGTTTGCGCTGGAACAGTTTCAGTTTGTGCGAGCTCACAGCGTCAGGGAAAAAGACGGAGAGCTTTACCTGCTGGCTCAGAACTTCTTTTACGAGAAAATCTATCCAAAAGTAACCTAGAGTATGCATTATCATCCCGGTCCATGTATCGCTCGGCCTGTTCGTGTACTGTTCTGTCACTTTCACTGGCAAGAGAAGAAGAGGACGTCAAGAAATGTGGACACGAAATCCTGGAGATCCAAGACTAGAGGTTTTAGAGCCTGTTTTTATTTTAGTTCGTTTTTTGTTTTTTTGGGGGTTTTTTTTGAGATAGAAAGAGAGAGAGAGAGACTTTACGCAGTGCTGACCACGACTCTCTTTATCAAGTCTCTTCGAGCCCAGTCTCTTTTTATGAACTTTCACAGCAGCGAAAACACTTGTGACATAAACATCACATTTTCACATAATTCATCATGCCTTCCAAAAGAAAATGACAGAAGCTTTTTTGGCCATCAGACATGGTTGTGAAATATGAATTTTGAACAGGGTCAAAGGGGGTACTTTTTGTACCAGGCATTTGGTACATTAGGAGCACCTCCTTATTTTACTACTAACTGTGGTTTTGTGAATTCTTATCACTTTCTTGCATTGTGTATATTGATTTTTAATAGAATGCCATGAACAGTGTTTACAGACTTTAGTAAAGGTATTGCCTAGCCGGAGTTTAGAAAGTGGTGAAACAGATTTCATATCTGTACAAATTGTATTTATGTGTATATTTTATGTAATTGGACCAAATGGTTGTAAGAAATTCAAAGCTGTAGAGTTTAAAATTAGTTCGAAAATAGACTTCTTTTTGAGAAACCCACTGGTGCTTGCTTGCTTTCTTTTCTATCACTCATTTTTTTCATCACAACTCCTGAAGACTCTAAAATAATGAACTAGAAGTTGCACTGTCCGGATACTTTTAAGAACAGAGACTGTTGTGAATGGAAGGCCATGATCTCCATGATCCTGTTTCTCAGTCCAGATCTGGTTCCTTGAGGCTTAACTACTGATATCATCTTTTAGCGGTCAGGACCACGTTCTCAGCAGACTGCTACCCTCTCAGAAGTCCAAATTATTTTTATTATAGTGTGTTCTACCAGAAGATATGAAAAAAAGAGAGAAAAGGTTTAAACCAACATTAGTTGTACACTCAATAGTGCCTTCATGAGTCATGTATTCCACCCGGGTTTCAGCATTTGGTTCGGATCATTTAAACAACGTCTGTTTTAAACTTTTAAACATGCCAGGTTTCCATTTTTTTGGGGTTCTTCCCTTATATTTTGGGTCCTTTATCTTTCGTTGTCTTTTTTTTTTTAAAATATAAACTGTCTCAAAGCATTTCAAATAAACTTAACTGTCTGTGAGATCATGTTGTTTTCATGATGCTTAGTTTCTCTTACAAACAGCAATTTATTCCAGAGATTCCAACAGGGCTGTACATGTACAGTATATATTATGTGTTTTCTGGGACTGTCAAAGTTAATGTGTTACATTATCATCAGTTAAATAGTAAACATGTTAAAGTTTTACTTATTTACAGATTTATCAAATATATTGATCCTATTAATTAATGTGTTAACTAAGGGTTGCTTAATACGATTTTGTGAAAACTGAAAACTATTTTCTTTGATGCATAGAAAATAAAAAAGAACATTTCTTTGAAAAAGAAATATTTTGTAACAATTTAAACATCCTACTGGTCACTGATCAAATTAATGTATCCCAGCTGAACAAAAGCATTATTATTTATTTATTTTATTTTTTTTGCTGAGCCCAAATTTTGAATAGAAGTATGTTTATGATTATGATGTTTATTTATTTATTTAGATTTTATATATAACAAGACAATACAGATTTTGTCATAAATTATTACTAGTGTATAATATTGTTTTCTTTATAATATCATTAATAACTTGCACAAATGCCCACTGTCCATTATCAGGTCACGTCCTACATTTTTATTTTCTTGTAGAATTATATTTTAGAAATGTCACATTACATAAAATTGGACTTTGACTTTTGAATTTCACTTGAATTTGACTTGACTATTGACTTTAAATATATGACAGTTGGCTAACTTAATGTTATCATATCACAGAAGTGTAAAAGTAGCTGCACTACAGTAAATAAGTAATAGACATTTCTTCATATCGGTTGCTCAATCTCAGTTATACAGTTTTACCATTAAACAAGGGCAGACTGTCATGGTAACTATAGGGAAAAAAAATGACCTCTGATTCTCAAGTGGTAGAGACTAAAAGTGGTCGAGCGTGTCCAATGTGATCAGTGCACAACCAACAACAGCCTTCATCTCCACAAAGACAGACAACGACAAGGAGAGAACGTCTGCTTCACAAAAGAGAACTCAATTAACTTTTTTTTTCTTTTGCTGCAGGCGAAACAAAGCATTGTTTCATTAGGCAGATGAAAACGCGCTGATAATTACTACTCAATTAAAAACAGCCTGTACCATGTATTGATTTGCAAGGGAGAAGGTTAATTAGTGTTCTGTTGATGACGTGTTGCAATCATTTGTTTGTTTCCATGTCATTGAGTTTCCTAATTTTTATCAGAGTTATTATTTGTTTCGAATATGTTTAAGTTAATAAGTAAAATGACCATATCTCTTGAAGAATTGCTGGTGGGTAAATTAGCAAAGGCGTATAGGTCTGGCAGCCTAAAAGTAGGGTTATTCCAAGTCATTTAGATGGCATTTGTTCCACTTGCATTAAAACTTATTTTTATTTTAACTTGAATAGCTTTATTTTCAGTGATAGTATGACATTATTTAAATCTTTTTAACAGTTGTCTTACTTTATGATTTTTTTTTTTGTCTGTTCCCAGACTTTTGCTCTATCTGCAAATACATTTTTATTTAAATTGTGACATTTAAAAGTGTAAAAATAGATCATATTGAAATAAAGGCTAGCATTTTGTCTTAATTTTACATTCCTTTTTTTGGCAAAAAATAATTACCCATACTATCAACCCTGTTACCAACATATTTTATTAATAAAAAAAATGGATTTATAATAATAATAATAATACAAAAAAATGTTGTGACCCTTTATCATTATCACAAATTATTCAATGACAAGTCATTAAGCACTTGTCTGTCACTTCTTTAATTCTTTCATATTTTGTTCGCTTCATCATAAGGGGGCAATCTTGAAAAATGTCAACTATTATCATACATTTATATAGGCTAGTAAGCTACTGAAAAGAATTAATCATCATGAAATGTTCTTCTTAATAAGCACTTTGAGGTTTTACCATAAGCACCCTTCTGAGGCATAACACCCCAACACATTATTAAAATATACAAATTTTGCTTGAAATGGCACAATGCAATTTTATTAACACGTCGACATATTTATTTGATGGAATGTGTAAATCCTTACCATGACTACATTAATCGCCATGTTTGCCAATTTCAAACTTAATATTTTCTATAACAATCCAGGTGATATTGAAATCGTTTGGCAATACATTATGGGCATACTGTAATTTCTTTCTTCAAGTTTGTCTTCCTTTCTTTAAATTACACTCACCGGCCACTTTATTAGGTACCCCATGCTAGTAACGGGTTGGACCCCCTTTTGCCTTCAGAACTGCCTCAATTCTTCGTGGCATAGATTCAACAAGGTGCTGGAAGCATTCCTCAGGGAGTTTGGTCCATATTGACATGATGGCATCACACAGTTGCCGCAGATTTGTCGGCTGCACATCCATGATGCGAATCTCCCGTTCCACCACATCCCAAAGATGCTCTATTGGATTGAGATCTGGTGACTGTGGAGGCCATTTGAGTACAGCGAACTCATTTTCATGTTCAAGAAACCAGTCTGAGATGATTCCAGCTTTATGACATGGCGCATTATCCTGCTGAAAGTAGCCATCAGAAGTTGGGTACATTGTGGTCATAAAGGGATGGACATGGTCAGCAACAATACTCAGGTAGGCTGTGGCGTTGCAACGATGCTCAATTGGTACCAAGGGGCCCAAAGAGTGCCAAGAAAATATTCCCCACACCATGACACCACCACCACCAGCCTGAACCGTTGATACAAGGCAGGATGGATCCATGCTTTCGTGTTGTAGACGCCAAATTCTGACCCTACCATCCGAATGTCGCAGCAGAAATCGAGACTCATCAGACCAGGCAACGTTTTTCCAATCTTCTATTGTCCAATTTCGATGAGCTTGTGCAAATTGTAGCCTCAGTTTCCTGTTCTTAGCTGAAAGGAGTGGCACCCGGTGTGGTCTTCTGCTGCTGTAGCCCATCTGCCTCAAAGTTCGACGTACTGTGCGTTCAGAGATGCTCTTCTGCCCACCTTGGTTGTAACGGGTGGTTATTTGAGTCACTGTTGCCCTTCTATCAGCTCGAACCAGTCTGGCCATTCTCCTCTGACCTCTGGCATCAACAAGGCATTTCCGCCCACAGAACTGCCGCTCACTGGATGTTTTTTCTTTTTCGGACCATTCTCTGTAAACCCTAAGATGGTTGTGCGTGAAAATCCCAGTAGATTAGCAGTTTCTGAAATACTCAGACCAGCCCTTCTGGCACCAACAATCATGCCACGTTCAAAGTCACTCAAATCACCTTTCTTCCCCATACTGATGCTCGGTTTGAACTGCAGGAGATTGTCTTGACCATGTCTACATGCCTAAATGCACTGAGTTGCCGCCATGTGATTGGCTGCTTAGAAATTAAGTGTTAACGAGCAGTTGGACAGGTGTACCTAATAAAGTGGCCGGTGAGTGTATATTGTATTGAATCCAAATGAATGATTACGACGTCCAACAGTCCTTCCAGTAATTCTTCTTTCCTCCACAAGAGGGAGTCTTGTCCGCACGCATCCGTCCTTCTTAAATCAGCTCAGCTGGAACTGTTCAACAAGTCCCATTAATGCACCTGTACTGAGCCAAATGGACCAAACGAACAGGGCATTACCATTAAGAATACAGATTGCTCTATTAGAGCTGCACCGGGCTTTTAGCTTTGGTGGCAGCTAAAAAGCTCTTTACTTCAGCCTCAGCAATTTGCTCCACTCTCTCTGTTCACTTGCATAAATGACACTATATGTGGTTTAAGTCACTGTGTGCAGATGGTAGGCTGGTGATGTGCCTTTCCAGAGAATAAGTTTAGCGTTTCGGAGAAGACTTTTTTAGGTCATAACGTCTTCAAGAAGCTTTTAGCAAAATGAGCGATTTACAGGTCTGAAAAGACTAAGTGGCATTTTGAACTTCCCTGTTGGTAAAATTACAGGGCATGATTGGCCGTATTTTTAATAATAGGCTGAATGAGTCTGCTTTCTTTATGTTTAAAGGATATGATCAGGATTACTTAAGGTTGAAATGTAAAGCTCACCACCATTAGGCCTACAGTGAGTCTCTGTTCTGAAATAACCTCTAAATCAGAGTCAAAATAATGATCTCATTCAACTAATGAAGGCTGCCTGGGTTTGACAACCATAACCCCCTGGACCTTTGACAAAATGGCTGTTTTTCTTTTCTTTTTTTTTCTTTTTTTTTTCTGGGTAGATCAGAGGAGATTGCTGCTCCATAAAACAAACAGAGCGTAGAGGAGGAGAGACACTGACCTCCTACTCTTCAGGACAGAAGGCAGGACCTCTGAGCACTTGGCTTAAGGGAATTATTATGCTTTCTATGAAAACGCCTTCATCTGATGGAAACATGGGGATCTAAATCGGAAGGTGGGGGGATAAAAAACAAACTTCAAAGTCAACGTAGAGCCAAGGAAACTAGCACATTATTTCCATTCTGGGGGCGTTTAGACTTCCTTGACTATATGCAAGC